TTTATTGCGGATTTTATAAATATACAGGACATGCCTTTTTATATTATTTTCATCTACTAGAAAGAAGCAGAAAAAGGAATTTAGAAATGAAAATAAAATTTTGTGACTAAAGGGTTAAAAAACCATACGTTTACATATAGATTTAATATTAAATGATTGCAGTGTTAGAAATAAATCTACCATTCTAGAATATTTAAATTTAAAGTATATAATATCAAAAAGATACACTAAGCATGTAATTATACATAGAAAACTACTATTTTAAACTGACATTATGACGCATTTATTTACAAAAAGTTTTTTTTATAATGTTAATTATTGATATACAAATCATTTGACTTTTTAGTTATAAAAAAAAAATTTACGAGTTATAAACAAAATATAAATATTATTTATTAAGTTATAAAACAAAATAACAAAAAAAAATACCGACTCCCAATTCGATTAATGAAATAATTGAAACAAAAGACTTAGAAAACAAACTTGCAAATTATGGTAATTCATTTTCAAATAAAAATATCTATAGTATTGTAGATATATTGTAGATATGATTAGGTATGATCTGATAACGTCAATCTTGATTTCTTTATTTACTGTCCAAATTGTAATGGTTTTTATTACAGTGTGTTATGTCAGAAATCAAAAATTCTACTGCATTTACTTACATTTAATAACATTTTTGAGAGTATATTATTTGTTTTTGAACACCGACGAATGTTTTAGGTACTAACATAAAACATCTGAACAATATCACTTTAATACACTTTAATATTATTAGTTATATGCCTATAACTAATAATGTAACTATCATCACATATGGTATGATGGTGATACTGCCCTTATTTCCTCTTAGAGAAACGTTTATAAAAATAAACAAAGAAGTATAAGCAATAAATCAAATTTATTTTATTTCTCTAATAATCATAACTAGGAACTAAATCAATGTATTTTTTAACTAAACAAATAATTGTCTCTTTTATCTGGAATCTTGCAATCACTCCAGATAAATAAACTGTTAATTATATATTAAAAAGTAAAAGCGTTTCTGAAGATTTCTTTGACATTAGGAAGCAAACAACAATAGGGAGAAATTCGGTTATAGGATGCAAATGTATCTCGTTGGTTGAAAAAAACCCATCAATTGAAATGTACAGCTAATTTTATTCTAATTCTATCTTATACTTATATATGCCAATATTCCAAGCACATTTACACACAAAATTAATTGTGGAAGGTTTATATAGCAACTTTTGTGAGTAGATGACGAATACCAAATTAAACTGCATTTTAATTTATTTTTTAGATAATAGCGTAAAATATAAAATCAGATTTGCTTTAATCGAAAAACGACACAAAAAATAAATCTATTTAATATCTCATAAAATTAAACATAGTTAGTTAGTTGTGATGGAGGGAGAATCGAGTCCTCCTCACTTAGCTAAAAAGCCGTTTTGAATCCACAATTCCTTGTAATAGTGGATAAAAGAAAGTCAAACTAGAACTACCCAGAAGTATTTATAAAGATGAAAGTTTGGCCAATGCTAATACTGGTTCTGGTCAGGCCTGGACAAAGACACAACAGGAGTTCTGGTGTCCTCGAGAGTTTGTAGACATCCGTTGCAGGAAATATCACAGGATTGGTCGAATATAGCTCCATGCCGTCCTATTGTCAAGTGCCCTCTAAAAACAGATATTAGCCTAGATACCTCTGATTTGCTTCTGTCATTCTAGTCAGAGATTCTACATTTGGAATAAATTGGCCATGTAGCTCTCGACCTGGTTGCTGAGATGGGTCCACTAACTATTTGCCTGTTGCAAAAAATTGCCTTGAATCAACCTACGACCGTAGCTGACAGGGGCAGGGATTTAAATAGGAACATTCGTAGAAGAGGCGCCTAGTCTAGCAAACTTCAACATAGTTTTTATATATTTTTAATATTATTTAAGAAAGTATGTATTATACTAGGAAAAATTTGATCTCCGAGTTTTTATAGAAGTTGTTAAACACATTTCAGGCTGATCATGTTTTCTTCTAACCATTATTTTATTTTAAATTACAGTGTATATAAAACTTAGCAGAAATTTTTTCCCATCTATTCATCCGTGTGTAATCGGAAATATTTTATATAGGAGGAAGATAGAGCCCATACCCTACCTCTAGCGATTCTAAAAATGATCAGCTATCGTTAAGGACAAAATTATTTAAAATATTACAAAGGTCGAACTGGAAGGAACTGGAAGGATACAAGTATATTTAAACTAAATTTCCATATTAAAATAAAGCACTGCGACCGTCGGGTCTATTGTGCCCCCTTCTTGAATTAGAGTAGATGTCTTAACTTTGTTGCGTCAATAAAAAGTAATATAAAACCTACTTTACAGAATTTTATTGCCTCTTCCGTAAGAAAATAGATTTACAGAAGCCTTTTCCGTATGTGCATTACCGCAAGGCACAGCTGATATTAAATGTAGTCATATGTTCTAGGTGGATGAAAATTGTACCCACTGACCAAAGCGTCGAAAACTTTCAACATATTATATGGGATAATATTTAAATAAAAGCAGACTGTGAGTGTTTAAATTGACTGCATTTGAAATTTTAATTATAATAATTATTTAAGCCAGAAATGTTCTTCACTCATTTAGATTCGCTTGTGCTGACTTTCAACTGAAAGGCTCTGCTAGAATGGTTTAAGCGAAGCTACAATTATAGATAGATTCATAACTAAGACATGAAGGCACAAATACATTCCAGAAATTAAAAAATACTTGAAATAATAAGTTAGAAAGTTCCAAGGTCGAAGAGTGTGTTGATTATCGGGAAAGCATTAGTACAGTTTTTTTTTTTGGATTGCATAGACATGTTACTGTTCGACTACATTGAAGGGATAGTTACAGTAGCTGGGATACAATAAAACTATTCAATAAATTTAATATTCACATTGTCGGAAACTCCTACGTTTACTAATGAAAAAGTTTATTTTTTTCAATCATGGTTTATTTCATGTTTAAAAGTTGGGTGGAAAGAAAGAAATTTTTTTAAAATGAAGAAGTATTATCTACCATAAAGATGTGATTATAATAAAAAATATATAAGAACAAAAAATTATAAAATGTTTCTTTGTATATACATAGGTCGCAAACATACATTAAGACCGAAAAGTTTTCGGAAATTCTCATTTAAAATTCGCGCGCTGTATATTTTTCGATATTTTAAGTTTATGTAGTTTGGCAGCAATTAAGGACAATTACTATGCAAAAAATGAGCGCGATCTGTCAGACAGTTCGTTTACGGCAGCTGTTGAAACCAGTTCACCTCAGTAGTGCGTTGCGAAAAAAACAATGGAAAAAAATATTGAACAAAGAGTTTGCATCAAATTTTGTGTTTCGAACGAAATTTCGTGTGCAGAATCGTTGCGAATGCTACAAAAGGCTTATGGGGAATCAGTTTTATCGAAAACTCAAGTTTATGAGTGGTACAAAGCCTTTCAGGACGGTCGTACGACCGTCGAAGACATTTCGCAACGCACTACTGAGGTGAACTGGTTTCAACAGCTGCCGTAAACGAACTGTCTGACAGATCGCGCTCATTTTTTGCATAGTAATTAAGGACAGTGCTGCCAAACTACATAAACTTAAAATATCGAAAAATATACAGCGCGCGAATTTTAAATGAGAATTTCCGAAAACTTTTCAGTCTTAATGTAGGTCGTACTTTTTATAAATCTCAGCATTAAGTATTGCAAATGTTAACTTGAAGTTTATACTATATTTAAATTGAATAAAATCACAATTAAATTTTTTGGTAGAGTTATACATTGTTGTGTTTAGTTAAAAAACTAACAATGTTAGTAAATACTTCATTTCACTTCAATACGTCAATACTTTCCAGCTCTGTATTGCAATCATCTTAAACCCTCCACGTTTCACACTGTAATTTATAAAACACTACATTTGTTTGCTGGAACAACTTTTCATCATCAATACATTTATGTACATGTAACTTATGGCCTTTTTTTAAAAGAGGTTTCAAAGTCTCAAGCCCCTCTCTAGACTACTATTTATACTTCCGACCATACGTAGTCAGTATTTCACTTGAATACCACTGTTCTTATGTTGTAATTTATTTCGATTTTGGTTCAAAATTTAAAAGTCCGAAATGTAGAATATCTATTTGTGTCTATATGACCGATTGTAGTTCCATTAATGTTACTTTTAAAAATATGCAAAAAGTGGTTAAAAGTGTTTAGCTCGTTTGTGCCCTAACAGTCTTATTGGCTTTTTAAACCTTTTATGTAATAAATAAATAAAAAAAGTTTACCAAATGAACTGCATAAATATTTTGAGCAGAAATAAGTTAATTTTAATAATAAAAATATGTATGTGTATGTTTATACTTTCAACAACAAAAAAAAGAAACAAATTTAATTTGTCGCTTATCAACGTCGACATGTTCAACATATTTAGCGACTATGACGTCACGCACACGTTGTATGCCCCATAAAAGCCGCTTCTGCAGACACATTTTATGGGCAAAGCACACTTGAAAACACCGAATAATTTCAAAACAAGAATAATATCATATAAGCCTTTTCATACATAATGTGTATCTCAACCTATACATATAGTATTATTATGTTAACATAAAAATAAAATATTTGTTTGCAGCTTAGCACACATAGCGACAAAAGCGCATATAAAAACGGTTTGTACTTTCTTTGCGACCATTGAAAAATAATTTTAACACAAATCTATATATTTATACAATAACATTACATACCAAATGTAAATATAATAATAGACATAATGCATTTCACTGTTTTAGCAAGCACACTTAGCATCTGAGCATCTGAAAAAGCTCTTGCGCTTAGCTTACCTGCAGATAATTTATTTGCATAATTTCAGATTTAAGATACTTTTGAACTTCAATCACAGATTTGAATTTCGTTCAAGATACTTTCAATAACTATTAAAAATAAATTTTCAACAAATTTACATACTTTTTGTCACAGAGTGTGTTTCAAATGCACTGCAGCGATTTCGTTCCCAAATCGAAATAACTTTTATATTTTTATTTTTTGGAAAAATGCTCCATGTAACACAATTAAGATCTAGTGTAGCTTCTTGCTCGAACAGCGCTCAAAACGAAACTAAAAGTTGCAAAGCTAACGAAATTAAAGCCAAGCTTGCGAACGCGCGCTCACTTGCCAAGTCATTTTTTCCACATTTTTTTTATTTTGTTTTTAATTTTCTTTACAATGTTAGAAACGCTCCCCTCAATTAAAAAATATTATAAAAGAGACAAAACCCAAAAATTCAAAAATTAGAGCAGGTCTTGTTGACAATGTAGCTAACACTACACTCGCAATCCAATCGCAATCCAATCTATACACTGCGCGATCAAGAGTATAAGAAAAGTACAACATCTGATCAATGAAAATGTATAAAATATTTTACAATCATTCACATAAAAGTCCAATATCTTTAAAACTGTTACACAGTTATTTAAAGAAAAAGCGTTAATCAAAGAAAGAAAATTAATCCTGAAATCACTCTCTCTCTCTCTCTCTCTCATCAATCACAAAAAGTTAAAGAAACTAATCCCATTTCTATAAAACAATAATTGTAAGAATGATTTTGTTGCTTTAGATATTTTATATGATGAAAGGAAAACCAATATCTTAACGAAGAGTACCTAATCTGAAATCACTCTCTCTCTCTCTCTCTCTCTCTCATCAGTTCCAAAAGTTAAAGAAAATAGTACACATCTGATAAAATTTTGCATGTATTTTTTAACACAAACAACCAATCTATGATTGCAATAATGATTAGGTCGCTTTAGTTATTTTATATGTTAAAAACATAACCAATATCTTAACGGAAAGTACCTAAAATCTAAAATCACTCTCTCTCATCAGTTCCAAAAGTTAAAGAAAATAGTACACACACACATCTGATAAAATTTTGCATGTGTTTTCAATACAAACAACCAATCTATGATTGCAATAATGATTAGGTCGCTTTATTATTTATTATGTATAATAAAAACAAAACCAATATCTTACTGGAATTATTCTAATCCTAATATCAAATAAATTATTATATTATCTTAGGGAAGATTTCAACGCAATTTAGTAAAGTCCAGTATTCTCAACAACTTTTCCACTACTTTTCAATATAACTTGGTTTTTGTTTTACTTAGCTTTGATAGCGTAAAATTTTTGGATTAATTTTGTATTAGTAATACTTCAGTACTTTCATCTGATATTTGCCTGTTTTGAAATGGTCGCAAGTTTTGTATGGACTCGACTGAAATTTTTTAGAGATACCAGTTTTAAGGAACAGAATTTTATCCCTATATTGGAGTCAATTATCTATTTATTTATTTATTTATTGTTCGATATATAGTGTCTTGAGTTTCCTTTAATGACTCTTATCTGAAATCGCCACGCAATTATGCAAGGTCCCGACCAGTCGGCCCTAGCTATCTACCTTAAGTAAGACAACCGCATTAACGTGATTAGCTTATTTAATCCTATCCAACTAATTCAGTGTATATAATGAATATGCTTTAATATAAAATTAATAACAAATACGTTACTTAACTGAATTATTCAGTATTTATACTCAACATTAAAAGTGTAGCAAGTCAGCAGTAAATCAAGATCACAGCCTTTATTACGGTGCCATAGTTAGAGGTTCGTATCATTCGAGTTGATCGTAACTTTAAACATTTTTTTGTTTAAATATGCTTGTTCGAAAATGTTCGAAAAACATATAGGTTTGAGCATTAGGTTTTATACATATCTGTATAAAATATATCCAATGTTCGAATACTTTCAAATATATAAAAAGTTCAACAAAAATATTCGAATTCGAGTATGGTGATGCTACTAGAACATCCTAAAAGTCGAAAACCTAGGTATTTCTTTCTGATACTGTTCCATGTGTAGCATAAATGCTTAACAAATACTTCGCCTTATAGAAAAGTGCGTGGCTTCCGTTCTCGATTATTTTATTCGTTTGTCAGGTATTTTTACTTTAAGCAACATGAGATTATTTTTTTTAATAAAGTAGCTGTCAATAATCTTCTCACTTGCTTTACTAGTTCGCGTGTAGCATAATTAATAAAAATTACAGCTTTTAATATAATTATATAGTTGGGCTATAACAATGTTATAATTACAGGTTTTTAACTATAAACTATTAGCACAGTCGATAGTTATATTGCACCTAGGCTAATTCATAATTAAACTTGGCGTCTACTTAATTCTCAGCTAATTATTTTAATTAAAAATTTACACATTAAGATTAAGCGTCCTATTGTATTACGACTCGCACTAGTCTGGACTGCTTGACAAATCTGTACTACTTGAGGGAAGCATGTTTTCATGTGAACTGCTCAGACTCGAAGTCGTCACAGATGAGTCATACGCAAAAATGTTAAGAATCAATTGCTAATACAAGTTTTTTCCGACATTCATGTGTTTTTACGTATTTTCCAGTCTTAATTAATGGCAGAATTACACATAATAACATCAACACATATCTCTGATTTCAATTAATTACGAATTAATGATTCAGTTAAACTGTAAAATTTGAACTACTAAGTAACGCTTTTTATAGATACAGTTTAAATATGCTTTGGCCTTGACAAGATATATTTTTATTTTCTTGATTTTACAATAAATATGTTTTTTTGATAAATATTTTTGTTTTTTTAAAAATGTTGGCTCATGAAACCATAGTATTTGACGATTTGTATTAGATCTAGTATCTACATTAATTTTTTTATCAAAAACTTCCAGAGTAAATAATGCTAGTTTTATGGATAGCGAAGAATGATCTAATAGCACGTTACCTTGTCTAGCCATAAAAATAACAATATTGTTTAACAGAGATCGTCAAAACTTTAAACTACAGTTTGTTTTATTGTCTTCTTCTTAAATTGGTATAAAACTATAATAAAAGCTTAGAGCCTAAAACCACTGTTCGCTTAAAATCATGACATATAACAGACGGTTTATTTGAAGTTGAAGCAAGTTGAAACTGTTTCTAGCTTTCGAACAGTGTTTTTAGAGCCTTTTAAAACCTTAATACGATTCAGTGTTTTTGATCTCAAACAATTGCATGCTATAGGAATAGGAATAAACGGAGTACTAGCTCCCAACGAAACGGAGTACTGCTATCATCATTGATCTTTTGTGCTACAACAGACCCTAACCGAACAGAATATCTTCTGTTCCGTTTTTCAAATAAAAGCCAGAATGTCGATATGCTATAACAACGCTGTAAATATTTATAAAATGGTGTGATTGTAGTTCGAAATACTGAAAGTGGTTCATTTAGACCGCAAAGTGGCGTTTATGCTCTACACTTTCTTCAGTTGCAAGAATTTTCGAATTTCGAGTTCAACAGATAGTCTCAAAAAAGTTTTCTTCATTAATGGTTGAAGAAACTGCAAGTTGACATTCGTATAGTATATTTGTACTCCTTTGTCGACCGACTTAGAACTATAATGGATGGCATGTACATATCAAAAATTTGAAGTGAATTTCATGAAACTATATACATATATTCTCATCAGTTAGTATAATTCAGTTCTAAATACTTACAGTTCATTTGAATATCCTCTAGAAAGCAATGCATTCAAAAACTATAAATTATAGATATTCTCTTTAAACAATATAGGATTATGATTTCACATACTGCATGATCCAAGAAAAGAAAAAACTCGTATGGACGAATTTTTGATATAAACCTACTTGTAAGAATATATAAACCTAGTATGAAATTAAATCGCTTTGCTGGTTTCGCTCATATCGTATTTGAATGCGTTTCTTGTTAGCAACGGGTGACAACAAGACGTTGATCAACTGACTGACGAGACTACTAGAAGCATTCCCGATCATTGGAATATTTTCGGCAATTGCAGAGTGCTTCAGGACCTCACTCGAAACACCTAAGTAATCTGGGCATATCGTTGATATCATGCAAATTCTTACTGAGTTCTTTCTGTGCTAAAATTTTTATTAAAAAATGGGAAGACTCTACTATGTGCAGGTAACTATATGCAATCTAGCCACTATCCATTTAAAACAAATCCAATATTCTCATTGAGATGCCCCAAAGAGATATTAGTCTTATGGTAGGTTTACTTACTTACAAGTCACTGCAGACTAGGGAACTATACTAGAAGATTGAATCTCCCTTTGATCAAAACTGTCACCTCTTTCTTGAGCATTCAAAGTTTCACCAAAGGTTCTAGGTGATTTTAAAACCCTAAGTTTTCTCTATATACGGTAACACAATGGACCAGTAGACCTAAGTAGATCCCCTAAGAGTCGCCAATATAAACTAACCTAACCTACATTATTATACAAACTAAATAATATATATGGATAGTATATATTTATAAAACATATGGCTAATATATATGCATAGATCACTATTTTTAGTTTATGCACACTATTATGTTGAATAGACTATCCAAACTTACTACTTATTGTCAATTTAATTAAAATAGATTATAATAACTAAACAAATTTCCAAATAGAATAAAAATTAATTTTCCATGTAGTATATAAACTTGTAATTATGTAAATTAGGTACACCTAAATCCATAAATTAAAACAACATTGTGTGTGTAGACTATAAGTTGACTATATTTGCGTTATTAATTAAATTTTTATAAGATTACATATATAAGATTGGTACATATATTCAAGTAATCGCGTACTCGTATACAGATACATAATATTATAGGTCATTCCTTAAATGTTTTAGTAACATACTATCAATATAGTTAACATATGTATATGGTTTATTATAATTATTTATTATTGTAAATAGTACAATATAAATACACATACGCTTACAGGTTACTAGTTTTATATATATTAGGTTGCTTGCATTTATTGCTTCTTTTACTGTAAATATATATATAGATATATAGATATATATATATATATATATATATTAAAAATAATAAAAACACAACTTGCAGGACAACAATTAAAAAACTCCAACTACTACTTCTGTTACTATAATATTTAAAAAGATTAAAATTCACACATAAATGTTCTAAATATTTTTACACATAATAACTGATATACAAATGATAAGTTTGTTT